TATATGTTTATATTTCAATACATTTTCTTGTGGTAAAGAATATAGTTGTGCACTATATCAGTGTTATTATTGTTAACTTTTTTTTTAAACTATTATAAAACTAAAATGATTAAAATCATGTTCAGTATTTGAAATAAATGTAAATATTAGATATTATAATATTAGAAAACTTGCCTTAGCAACTAACTGAAATAAGTTGAAGTACTAAAGATAAATGAAACTTTAATAGAAATACAAAGAAAATAATACTATACTATAATAGTATATAAATAATGCAACAAAAAAAAAACACGGCTCTATATTCACAAATTATTTTGTAAGCAAACATCAGAAAATGCCCTAACCACTCTTGTCCAACTGTCCTGTCTCCCTGCATCCCTCTTATTTTAAGAAGAGAAAGGAGGATGACCCTGACACTAAAAGGAAGAAGGAGGGTGTGAATGTGGTCATCCCTTATGTCCCCTCAGCAGACAACTCCAATCTGTCTGCGGATGGAGAAGACTCGTTCATCAGCGTGGACATGGACTCTGCCATGCCCAGCCCTTTCAGTGAGGTAAGAACCAATGAGACTCGACCCATGACCACTTCCTGGACTCGATTTAAAATAACTCTGTGATCTTGATGATGTGTGTTGAATTGCAGAGGTCATGATGTCAGGAAGAATTATTGTACAATCCTGTAATGACATTCTTTAGGTGATGAGTCCACAAAACAATCATGTGAGAACTTTCCCAAAGAATAGATGATTTCTATAGAGCTATTATGCCATTGTCAACACACATCCTCTCGTTTACTTGCTGCATTGATCTCACGGCGCTCTTCCTCCTCCTCGTCCATCTTCTGGTCCTGCTGTCACCTCCGTGGTGCTGTCCCTCTGTCCCTGTCTCACCCCCAGAACTATGTGTCTCTGCAGATCTCATTGAGCAGTGAGCTCCAGCCCAGCTCCATTCCTGCAGACGAGAGTAGCAGCGACATGCTGGTAATTGTGGATGAACCCATGTCTTCTGCTCCTCAGTCCCGTGCCACCAACTCTCCCGTCTCCATCGCCGGCTCTGTGTCCGACACCATGAATGGTGGGTACCCTCGGCTTACTCAATTTTTAATTGGTCTCATGTATATCACAGCAAGCCATGTCATATTACACATACAGTATTCATAAACTTTCATACAGTATTATGCATTGTCGGAAGTTGGAAAAGGGCAGGGAATCCACACTGATGTCTAATAGTCAGCGAGGGAGGGATTTTTCAGTCCGCTCCCCCAAGATTCTGTCCCTTTTCCGTTCCCGTTAGGTCTGCATCCCATTGTCCTACTTTCACCTACAAAATCCCGCAGTCCCGTTCCTGTTAGATTCTCACTCCAGTGTTATAGACTATTTTTTTCAATTTCCACATACACGCACAAAAGTTCAGACCCACACCCTTTTTGTATTTGTCTCAGTAGGCAAACAGAAGGTGCTTTCTCTCTTTGGTTCACTGTATTTTTAAGGAGAAAATACTCAGCAATGGTGTTGACTTGTGAATTTTCACAGGGTTTGTCTGAAAGCATATTAAAAACACCACAGACATATAAACAACATTCAAAACATGTTTATAAGGATTTTTGCGTAGGCGTGGTTTTAGTTGTTCCTACACATTTTAGAACAAAAGAATCATTTGTTTGTGAAAACGTTTGTATGCGGATTTCACGCACAAATTTGTGCGTTGGCATGCTTAGTAAATGAGAATGAGAAAACTGAATGTATTCTGCTTTTTAACTATGTTTGTTACAACTTTTCACTTTACTGGTCTCATACATGTTTGTTGGGGCTTGTTGCTTTACTGCTCAAATCCCTGAATCCCCTACATTTAGCACACATTTGGCTGCCTTCCTGTCAAATGATGAGCAGTGCTGCAGTCTAGGGTGTAAAGGTTTGTGGGACTGAGCTTGCCGGTGAAATGCGAGCAGAACTGTGGCTGTAAAGGAGACAGGGTTTGCGTGAGTCTAGGCCGCAGTGGCTCTGCATTCAACCTCATAATAAACTGAGGATTAGTGGAAGATGAAAAACTCCCAACAATTCAGAAGAAACATGTAGATGTTGTTTGGCTGGCACATAATCCGTTAAATAGTCGTGGATCTATGAAATCAAAGTTTGAGCATACTCTACTTTTCAAAAGTTTGGGGTCGATATGATTTTTTTATGGGGTCACTTATGCTCACCAAGGCTGCATTTATTTGATAAAAAATACAGCAAAAAAAGTAATATTATGAAATATCTTTACAATTTGAAACTGCTGTTTTCCATTTTGATTTATTTTAATAAGTAATTTATTCAGTTTTCAGCATCATTTCTCCAGTGTTCAGTCAGTGTCACATGATCCTTGCTGCTCAATAAACATTTCTTATTATTATTTCTTCTTATTGACAATGTTGAAAATGCTTAATTTTTGGTGTTAACTGATGTTTATTTCTGGATTATTTGATGATTAGTAAGCTCAAAACAACAGTACTTTTATTTGAAATTTGAACTTTATTTTGTAACATTATAAATGTCTTTACTGCCACTTTTAATGCATCCTTGCTGAATAAAAGTATTGATTTAAAAAAAATATCTGCTTTTGAACAGTAGTTCAACAATAAGCTAATTTCATCATACATGACTCTCTCAGGTGTCTCCTCGCAAGATATCTCCAGTCCTGGCAGGGGAAGGTCCGGTCGGAGTCGAGGACGACCCAAAGGCTCTGGAGGATCGGGCAAGTGTTCTGTGAGGAAGGGAAGAGGCCGGAAGTCCAGCGCGGGCAGTGCTGCAGCCATGGCAGGAGCGATGGCAGGGGCGGCAGCGGCCTCAGCAGCGGCCTATGCTGCATACGGCTACAGTGTACAGTCCAAAGGTAACACATTTGACTTTGATTAACAGAACTGCTGGTGAAAACTAAGGCCTATAATAGTTCATCCATTGTTATTCAACTCTCTTCCAGGTATTCCAGCAACTGGCTCCGTACAACCGACTCTCATTCGGTCTTCTACCACACCTGCCTTTGTTCCAACTGGCACCTCCTCCCCCCAGGCTAAAGGAAGCGCTGTGGCCACCAACTCACAGACTTCAGCACATGGCAGTTCACAAAGCCAACACAACCCCACTAAAAGAAGCAAAGTACCAAGCAACCACAGTGGGCGGTAGCAGCTTGTGAACCCTTGCTTTTTGATTGTAGCATGGCCAGTACGTTTTCAGTCCCAGGTTGACGATTCTCACGCTTATGATGTTGAGCCGCTATCACACCACAAGCCCTACTGTCACTGTGAAACCCAATTCCATGCCCACACCCAACTTAGCATCTATTTCAGTGGCTGGTGAGCAATATGGGAAGTTGTGCACTAGAAGCAAAAAGAGTCATTGAGAATTATATCTTCAGTTTATGAAGTTTAGCTCATTGATCCTTTATACAGAAAATAGCTGTTGTAAGGATGACCAAGGGTTTTGTTATTCTAGTAATGGCTCTTTTTTGTTTTCTGATGACCATATAAGCAAAGGGCAGCATGGCTGAATGAAGGAGTTTTCTTCATCTTCTGGCACATCATGAGATGTTCTGCGTCATTATCAGCAGAGATGAGTTGAAATGGGAACAGGGAGGGATGTTGGTTATTAAACACCCTCTTGAACAAAGTCTTTACCTGAACACATATGAACAGATAAGACTGCTTTTGTAAGATTGCTCTTATTTTTGTAGGACAGACTCGTTGACATTTGTTCAGTTTAAATACCGAATGGCCTTCTCTTTCTATGTTTATTTGCTGCAAATTCAAAGATTTTGGCTTAAATACTAATATATATTTTCTCTTGGAAAGAATAAAATAAATCAATGTTTTTTGTAGTAAATGCAATGAAAAAACACCTGAAGTGAGTGCTGCTCGAAAAACTCGAAAAACAAAGTCACTGCTCAGATCGTGACTTAAAAATACTTGGATGTGAAATGTAATATAGCTTAAGTTAAAACTTGGTAATTTATAATGATCTGTGCTAGTTGTAAATTGTATCGAATCTGTTTTATTTTTAAATAACATGATGAAAAGTCCTTGTTGCATCCGTGACAAATGGCTGTGGTTTTTGAGAAAGGCCATTTCTGGGTTTATTTTGTCTTTAAATTGTGATGATAAATGTTCTATGTATGTAAATATTTTAAGGGTATCATCCCTTTCAAAGTTCTCCATTTCCCCCCAGTTGCTTGTCTATTTTTATAGGTCAGTGTAAATACCTAAAGGAAAAACCCAAATGGTCCTTTTACTAACTTGGAGAAAAACTAAATAAACATTGATTCAATGATTTGAAATTTTCCCTGTGGGATGTGATTCTTGATAAATCTTTTCCCCCATACATGTTACTGCTGAATTTTACAAAACTATTCGTTTTTAAAAAGCAAGTCTACTTGAGCTATAGGTAGAGCAAAAACACATATGCCATTTTGAGCTCTCAGGTTCAAACCTCTTTCTTGCACATTTAACAAACATACCGACTTCATTTCACACCAAACACACTTGACAACAAGGATACAGGTTCTTAGAATATTTAATGTGCAAAAGGACAACAATTATAATGGCTTAACAGTATTTTGCTTCAGTGCAAATTAAAATGGAAGTGTTTTGAGGTTGCATGCCCACATATTTGAAATAAAATGCAAACACCTTTAGAACTTGACAAACTTTGGCAATACATTATCACAAGCATGCGTTTGTACTACAGCACCACATGTTTGGGACAAGAGCACATGACGAAAACTGACAGTATACATGTCGCACCATAGAATCAAAATAAGAACAGCCTAAAATACCATGTTCCCTTAATGCAGTACCTTTACCGTAGTACAGTAAATTAATCTCTTGGTATAGAGAGAATAAAATGTTTGAACACAGCCACTAAATCACAATTACACCCAAAGGACGGCAATGTTAACTTTATGTTAGGAGGACCTTAATGGTGTTTGGATTAGATGCTGATAGCCTCAGTGACATATTTAGTGTTTTACAGAAGATACAGGTTACTGAGATGCTAACAATATGGGTCTAATGGTGGTGAGAACAGCTGCCTCGATAGAGAACAGGTGAGGGTCGTCGACATCAGGGCAGCTGACTCTCATGAACTCCGCCAGGCGAAGCAGGTACTCGATGTTGTGGCCCGACTTCCCCTTGCACACAGCGATCTGAGCAGCGATTTCCTCCGTACTTGCAGGCCCCAGGTAAATAGGGTTGTCAGCTGTGGCGATATACACCAGAGCCTGGACAGGTGACTGATTCATGCCCTGCGGAAAGAACTCTAAGGCCTGGGTCAGGTAGCCTCCTCTCACCGCCTCCCTCACGTTCAGGTACTTGAGAGACTCTTCGACCTGAGAGCCAGTCACCTCGAAGGCAACACCCCAGGTGCATGCCTGTGTAAAAAAAAACCATAAGGTTAGTCACATATAGTGAGAGAAACGAACATTTAAAGGGACAGTTCACCCAAAAACGTTTAAAAAAAAAAAATCCATACACAAAATGTTATTTTTCCAAACCAAAAACTTTCAGAAAAATTTAAAGATTTTGGGTATAATGACAGCCTCAGTCACTTATTTTCATTACATCTTTTCTCTATACAATGAAAGTGAATGGAGACTGACACTGTCATTCAGTTTGATATCTTTCGTGTTTTGCGGAAATCAGTCATGGGTAAACGGTAAAACCATCATGCCCACAAAATGTGATGTTTCTTTGTGGTCTATTCATAGCGTTGTTCCTATAAAAAGTGGAAGTTGCACTTACGTCATCCTCCTCGATGAGCGTCACCACTCTTCCGGGCTGTTATGGAAACACGAAAAAGTCAATGAGTTGCAATGGGAGAACTGTTCAGGTATTTACTTGTGTGTTCTTAGGGGGGAAAATATATATATATATATATAAATGGAAAACTCACCATTTCATCATCTCCACGATGAAAATTATCTCCGTGCCAGAAGCGTCTCTTGTACCCCTTAATGTAACCGACCTTGCTCCTCTTGTACTTAAAGTCTGGTTTCCAAACCAACGAGCCGTAACCGAAGATCCACAAGCTGGATTTTACAGCGACGACGTCTTGAGGTTTCATCTTAGTATGGTATGAGAATAGGAAGGGTAATAGTGTAACGTTACGGTTTGATGTAACAGCTAAGTTGAATGGGCCCACAGGCTAACTAGCTAACGTTAGCTTCCTCCTGTCAAGTAGGAGAGGTATCGGTTGGCTCACGGCTATACCGCGGACGGTATTAGAGCCCAACTGCTTGGCAGTTGTGATGGTGCAGTCCCGAAAATCGCTTTTCTGTGCCTGGTGCATGCCGATGCCGTGCAGTTACCGCATCATTGCCTTAAAACTCCATCTCGGCCTCTTCGGCTCTTTCAATTCGAATAAAACACAAAAGCTGTTGCTAGCTCACCAGCCAGCCTCCTATTTAGCAACAAACCGCTAACCAGCCAATCACACGACTCTTTATAGTCAGAAGAAATAGCCTTTTAACCGTTGCTTTCGGGAACCCTAGGTTGCCGTGCTGCTTTTCCTCCTCAGCGGATGATGAAATGTGGACTGCTTTGAAGCACACTATATGCGAGATGTCTATGGGCGTATCTGACCTAGCTCAAAATCCGGACCAATCATTAGCGTAGATAGGGCGGGGCGTCCTGCCTTCTATCCAACCAATTCATCTCGCTGTGACTCTATAAGCGCATAATTGTCTGATTGGTTCACGAACCCGGAACAAACGTGCGCAGTTGACTAATTTCATAGGCGTGCCAGCCGTCAGTCACAGAAAACGCTCACGCTCATTCGCCAGCAGTTCTGTCGCTTAAAGTCTGCTCGGCTGATGCAACTTGAAACAAGCGTTTCAAGCCGCGATGCAGGCAGGCACAGTACGTACTGAGACTTATTGCATCAGTCCTCCCAACAAGAATGTTTTTTTTGAGACCGAGTCAGGTCTCATACAAGGTATCGGATTTTACTAAGTAAGAAGTCTTCATTGGAAAATAATATAATGTCCATCCATTTTTCAAACCGCATTTACTGTCTCAGGGATGCTGGAGCGTGTCGAGCAAACTAATAATATAATATAATATAATATAATATAATATAATATAATATAATATAATATAATATAATATAAAGAGAAAATAAGATGCTTTTGCAAACCATATCCACCAATTCCTTTTTGTTGTTTTTGCTTTAAATGCAATTGTCTAGTCAAATTGTCATAAGAAACGGCAACATCCTTGAAACATCTCCATTTAGTTTTATCCTATCATGACTGCTGAGGCAGATTAGTTTCTTCCTGAAGATCTTTTAAGCTATGGCATCGGCTTGTATTTTAGATCTCCTTTGTCTGTAATCTCCATGACATATTTCAGATCTTTCCATTTTTATTAGAATGCAGAATCCTGTTATTCATACTATTTTCATTTCTAATCTTTCTACAAACCTGTGACATCCAATGCTATACCTGATGGTTTCCACTGTGACAACCACATATGTTCATCTCTAGTTGTTTACATCTCATGTTCACTTTATTTACAAATTATGATAAAGTTGAGGTTATCAGTACCTTAAATTCAGAAGGTACTCTGAGTACATATTGTTTGTCCTCTGAGTTGCATCATGTTCCTTGCAAAACAAATATTTATGTACCGTTTTTTTTTTTTTTTTTTTGTCTTGGTGATTCAGTGTTATTACATTAATATATTTGCATAATACTGAGTCATTCAAATGTATTTGACCAGGCTGAGAATAACAACATGTCAGCATCATAAAACTATTAAGACAGAAAAACAGGCAGGCAGACTTGTGATCTCAGTAAGTCACAGTTCCTTTGTCAGCCCTGCTTGGGAATTGCGTTTTTAGGTTGACACCCTTTATCAGCCGAGTTCCGAAGCCATTAAACCACACTGACTCAACTCCTTGACAATGAGGATAGTGGTATTTTTCTAATTTTAAAAAAAATTAAGAGTTTATTTTATTAGTAACCTATTATATTGCAAATTAACCTTTTCAATTAAACATTGAATGTCACAAAAATTGGATGAATGAAAATATTATTTGTCATTTTTGCTGCTATTTTCTTGTTCAGTTCAGTTTCGGTTGATAAACAAAACACCCCTCGCCCTCGGCCCCCTGCCACTCCTGGACATTTCCTGTAGCTTAGGCTTTTATTTGGTTAAAATAGGATTATCTATAAATAGAGGTATTAGCTGGCATCATAAGATACAAGCACATGTAAGCTCCTTAAAAGTCTGCATGATGCACAAGCCTTTCTCTGCCTATAGCTCAAGCAGACGGGGGAGCGCAGTGACCAGACCTTTCACGAGACAGCCTGTTTACTTTCTCTAGCGCAGTGACCTTAGACTCGGACACACTAGCCCCCGCTGACCTTATATGAGTGACAAATGCAGAATGGAAAGAGGGTCATGTGAATTACACACTTGCTGTTTGTTTATAGCCATTATGAACACATTTCTTAAAGCTTACTGTTGCTAAAATTCCTGAAACAATTTAACAGCATAATTAATCGAATGTGTATCTTAATTGTGCTGCAACTGATATGTGATTTGAAAAAGCAAATTATTTTAAAAATGGATGACAATGGGATGTTCATGATGCTTACCTTGGTTGCCGTGCAAGTTTGAAAATCTGTTGATGACCAGATGAACTAGTTTCAGTCTGAAACATACCAATAGTATGTCCTGCAGGGAATTGAGGTTGGAGACCAAGAAATTTGCACCAAAACAGAAAAAAACAGGACAAGACACATTCCAATGCCCCATGCACACATATAGTGCACTTAAACATTCTTCCTGCCATACATGATAAAATGCAGTGAACGGTTCAGAGACGTTGATGTATTTAATATATATATTTTGTTTAATAATTTATTTATTTATTTTTTACTTTGGCTCACTGATAGATGGGACTGTTTGGTAATTATATATTTATTGTGATCACCACTTTTTTTTTATTTAACCTTTTCCCTCTTTTTTTTTTCTTAAAGGAATAATTTAGCCAAAAGTGGAAATTCTGTCATCATGTAGGCCTACTCACCCATATGTCGTTTTTTTATTCTGTGGAACCCATGATAAGATATATTTCTAAATATATAATTGTATTTGAAATTTTTTTGAACAATGTTCCAACTAACTTTGTCCATACAGTGAAGGTGAATGAGGTCTAAAACAACAATGGACTCCATTGACTTTCATTGTTTGGGCAAAACAGATCTTCAGAATATATTCTTATGTTGCATAAAAGAAATAAAGTCAGTTTTAGAATGACATGAAGGAGAGGTGAACTATCATTTTTGGGTGAACTATCCCATTAATAGGCTACATGCAAATCACTTGATAATTGCTTGACCTTGTAAATACTCAATTGTTATGTTTGTTGCATGGTTAAAGAATTTAAAATGTCACGAAATGCATCCTATAAAAGAAAAATTCAAGGACAGACAGGCACCAAATGTATTTTTTTTAGACCTTTATCATGTATTAATGTACAAACCGCACGGGCATTTTAGCGACATCTAGTGTTAGTGAAGAAAATTGCAGATGGAGGGCCTTTGGGTTTACTGGGTGTCTGGCTCATGATTGCTGTTTTTTGGACATCATGTGTTTTATATTGTACATTTTGGTATTGCATTTTAGCATCCTTTTAGGAATGGATTGACGTGTGACACATTTCCTCTTCTTCTGACTGCATATGGCTGACTGTGTCAAAATCTCATGAATGTTTCGCGATGTCAACGATGTTTTCGAATTCCACAGTGCAGATTTCAAAATACTCTTGAAATGAAATCAATAGTCTTGATTTGATGCCCCCCTCCCCTTTCGTTTGTTATGAGCTTGTTTCCTGAAACTTTGGGGATCCGTACAAAAATACAGAACGGAGAAAGAAAGAGATGCGTGAGAAAAGCGTTTGGCCAGTGCCGGCATGTTCTGCATTTTTTAATCAGACAGGAAAAAGGAAATGATGTCACTGGGTCACAAACAGGATGCAGTGATTATAACACAATGAGAATGCCTGGCCATGCGATTTAGACCCAGAGGCCAGAGAGCAATGCGCACACACACACACTTGCAGTTGTGGCAGGAGGGGTTCAAGTAACAGGTTGCATTGCGAAAGTTTTAGTTCAAGACTAATTGCTGCGATAACAAGTGTTTAATGCTCCTGCTGCTGACGGAAATTCTCTCAGAAACCTTTCCGAAATGTGTTTATTCTTCCTAAGTGTCCTTTTGACCCAAGCACAGACGCAAAGACAAGGATGCTTATGACATGGATGAACAGGATGTGTGTGTGGAGTGTGTTTGCGTGGCATAGATTTGTTGTTGTTTGTTGATTATGTTGCTGTTAGGAATGGAAAGAAATCCGAGCTTGACCTCCTGGACAACCATTTCTGTTTTAGTACTTTGTTAAACTCAAACTCAAAAACGCATCTCCTGCATGGCCCTCTGGTGCCTTGCGTGGGGTCTCGTAATATTGACTTTGGCCAGGGTGGTGAATTATTTAGGAAGAACTGATGGGAAGGATGAATCTCAGAGCTGAACATCGAACGCTAGTACAGATTGCTTTGTTTTTATGATGTGTGTCACCCTATTTAAATTCCCAATCAAGCCTTACAGATGTCCTTTGCACCCTTTAGGTGATCCTGTACAGCCGATACAGTCTTTGATTATTTCATTATTTTTGAATAAGACCCTTGCTTTTTTTCTCGATTCTTTTTGGTGTTTGGTGCGCATAATGCCACTGAAACCCATCTGTGGGCGCCAAGGCCACGTGCACGGCTCCGGCTGATTCTTTTGTTGGGGATGGAGATGTCTCCTTCAGCCCGAAGGCGAGGCTGAGGCCCTCGGAGCTGGAACTCGTTTGTGTCTGTAGATAAGTGTGTGTGTTTTGTTTATGGGTGCTCTGCTGAGCAGCGCCACGATGAACCTGGTGAGAGGGGCGGCATATGCCGCTGTTTTTATGGCAGGGCAAGGTTGCACCCTGGGGCATCTGTTTCGGTTTTCTGAGGAGGGGCTGCTCCTCTGTCGTTTGCGCTCTTCGCCTGTCTTTGTTTCAGAATTTCCAGCTCAAGGGGCCTGTATCCGAGGCAACGGATTTAAATTTCAAGCCAATTTACAACTGGGGAAGTGGAAGGAGGGGGTTGAATGTTTTTTTTTTTTTTTCAGGATTGAGAAAAAAAATACTTCACGGAGATGTAAAAGACGGTACATTTGTAACCTTTATAAGAGAGAGTAAAAGTAAACCATAACATTTTCATTCCCTTTCCACTCACCATTATAAGAAACACGTAAGTGTGAATGTATATGTGAAAAAAGCAACAAAAAAATAGCTTGAAGGAATTAACTTTTTATTCTTCAGATGTTTGGTTTCTTATAAATATGCATTATATACAAAATAATAGTATAAAACATATAAAGAGCAGTGTGTCATTATTAAATTAACTCTGGAAATAATCACTTTTTAAAAAAATTACATTATTGGTTCTGTATTTTCAAAACTAATTATAGGCAGTCAGTGGTGAGCAGTTGCTTTGTTTTTGT